CATAAATGGCTTGTTCACACCAAATCCGGACCAGATCTGCATGAGTTTCTGCATATGCAGTGCATTTTGCCGCATTCCGGTCCATTTTTAGCACTGAATGGGCTTTCAGTGCTTTCCAAGGTGTTTGCATGTGGTTTTTATGCATTTGCTTGTTCACACCAAATGCAGACCAGATCTGCATGAGTTTCTGCACACGCAGTGCAGGGGGTTGTGCTGCGTTTTTGATGCGTTCCGTACCGTTTTAGTTTAAAATGGGCTTTCAGTGCGTTCCAGGGTGTTTGCATGTGTTTTTGATGTGTTTGCATGTGTTCCAGAACAGGTAAAATAGGGCCTGTTGCAGCTTTTTTACCTGCTCTGGAACGGAACGCTGCAATGTGAACTGGAGCTAAAAATACCATTGGAATACATTGGTTGCAGTTTTGCTCCGGTCCGTAACTGCTCTGCTCCTGGAACGTGCTTGGTGTGAACAAGGCCTAAAACACAAAACTTGGTCCTTCGGCCTCGTTCACACTGGAAATGTCATACATTCTCGGCGTTCAGGGCTTGTTCACATCACATCACATCACTGCAAATGGTCCATATTTAACACTGTACGCAGGTAAATGTTTGTGCTAAAGTTTACATGCAATCAGCACAAATGCATTCTATTGGAGCCATCAAGCTTCCTTTGTTGCTAGGTTACAGGTGGCTGGAGGACCCTAGAGACCTTTGTTGCTAGGATTCAGACAGAGCCACCTAGAGATCTTCATTGCTAGGATGCAGGTGGCTCGAACCACCTAGAGACATGTGTTGCTAGGATGCAGGTGACTAGAGCCATCTAGAGACCTTCATTGTTAGGATGCAGGTGGCTCAAGCTGCCTTGCAACCAATAGGGCCTTAGGCACTTCATTGAAATGAATGGACTGGCTGTCAACCAATGCACAAAAAGATGGACACACGGCAATATTTTTAGATGCAGTGCATCACAACACGTTACTAAGCATGACGGTGTGCTGCAATGCATGTGCATTGGAGGTATGTTGTCTTAGTGCTTAAACACTCCTTTGTGATGAGGAGCTTTGCAGAAATAAGTACATTAATGCATATTCTGGTGCCATTTGATTTTGAACGGCACTTCAACACACTAAGGCAACGCAGCTCTGACACACGTGGTTCAGTGCAGCAGGATGCATGCTAATGCGCTTGCTTGCCTTGTTGTGTACTGCATTGGGAAAAATGCTGCATGTCTGTTTTCAATGAGACTGTCACGGGTTGGCTCAGTAGATCAGGAGGTGAGCGAACACATGCCGGCGTTCGCTCACTTCTCGATCCTGTCACGGCTGGATTCCCCCCGCTCCGGTCCGCCAGCGCTGACTGGTGGAACGGACGGGGGAGGGGCGGGTACAGCTGGCTCTGCCTTTAGATAGGCAGAGCCAGCTGTCAGTCACGCAGCTGGGCGGATCCCGGCACAATTGTCGGGATCCGCTTCTACTGCGGCGTCTCAGTATACCGCGAGCTACAGCTCGCGGTATACTGAGCCTAGGGTGACAGGAGGAAGCTAGTTTGTGTCCTCCCGTTACCCTAAGGAGAACTATGGGGAAAAGACTTACCCCATAGTTCTCCTTTAAGGCCACACGCCCCAAGCTGTAACCCAATGCAATGAATGTAGTGGACAGGAACAGACACTTGTGGATAGGCCTTTCGTGCTTTCGGGTGCCATTTGAAGTGAACAGCACTTCCATGCATTAACATGTGCTTGGCATGTTTGTGGTAATGCGTGCTTTAACGCATCCAATTATTGTATCACTCCACAGAAGATAGGTGTACATGGACCCTCAGATCCAGTCACCAGACCATTCATTTCAATGGCAGTCTTCACATAAGATTATATAAACATTTAACATATTGTATGCATGTTATTTTCATCCACAAGCTTGAGCCCTGAGACTGTGTGGTTCCTTGAGCTGCTTATCCCTTCTGCAGTAGGAGCTCTGCTGTACAGTGGACTGGAATAGGCTCATGTCAGGTCAAATTCAGATACTTGCACAGCTTTCATTACCAGAAGTCTATTTCCGGGCGTATTAATGAAAACATATTGATATCTGCCAAGAGTTCCGCTTTAATATATAAACTTACCAAATGAGGGCAGATGTGAAATCAGCCAATAAAAGCTACAGCACGGCTCTTACTAGTACATGAGCACTGCAGTACAAACGATCTGCTCCCAATACTGCCCCTTCCTCTCCCAGTCTGAGCTCCTTTTATACAGGAGAGTGCAAGGAGCATGCTGATAGAAGGAGAGAGCAACATGAGAGAGATAATCTCATCATTCTGATGCTTCTCCTTTTAATTTTTCCGTTTCCTGCTCCTGGCAGGGTTATGAGGTTAGGCAGAGCTGTTTGGGTTGGATGGGCGAGAATACAAATACTTTGACAGGTAAAACAGCTTCTACATATGTATTTCAAATGAGTATTTAGCTACGTGCATTCAGACGTGGCGTACACATCAGTGCGGCGTGCACGCCTGTAAACAGGCCGATCTCGGGAGGGACAGGTGCTGCGTGTAATTTCTTGCAGCAGCCTGTTCTTCCCTATGGGGGGACGCAGCTGTATGGTGCCATACCCACATTTGCAAATCCATGTGGGTCCGTTGTCTGCGTCCAAGTGCAGACACCCGGACCCGGGGATGTGCAAATTCGGGTGTGCGTATGAAAGCAGGAGTCAGTAGTATGACTATGTGCATTCAGACGGGGCGTACACATCAGTGCGGCGTGCACGCCTGTAAACAGGCCGATCTCGGGAGGGACAGGTGCTGCGTGTAATAGCGCACAGCAGCCTGTTCTTCCCTATGGAAGGACACATACCCGCGGATGTGCAAATTCGGGTGTGCGTATGAAAGCGTACGGCCACGTCCTCCCATAGGGAAGAACAGGCTGCTGCACGCAATTACACGCAGCACCTGTCCCTCCCGGGATCGGCCCGTCTGAATGAGGCCTAATTCTGCAGTGTGATTTGCACTGGGGACTGGGCATACCTGTTGATCATTTTCATCTGTCCTCCTATAGAGCCTCCTGCAGAAGACGGAGGATACCCAGAGATGAGCATCCTTCTGATAGAGGCCTTCTATGGAGGCTCCCACAAGCAGCTGATGGACCTCTTGAAGGGTGAAGTTGACGGCTGTGTTCTCTATAGTCTCCCTGCTAAGAAGTGGCATTGGAGGGCGCGCACCTCTGCCCTGTACTTCATGCAAGCTGTTCCACCCAACGACACTTACAGGTAAGGTCACAATGCGGATGACACTGAAAACTTCAGCAGGCAGGTTTCCGAGTAATCAATTTAGCCAACCTTTATTTTTAAATACATGTAACCCCGTTTACTAAAATCTCATGGAGATTTTAAAGCTGAACTCCAGCCTTCCCTTCAGTCTTGCACAGTTATGCCGGCTCCTCTCGTTCACTGACATTGTTTTCTTCTAATGCACACTGTCAGCTTCTCACAATGTGCATTAGAAGCTGCAGCAAGTCAGATAGAGCCCACCTCATTTCCTGGCTAGAGGACAGACAGCATCATCTAGCCCAGGGGTAGCCAAACTTCGGCCCTCCAGCTGCGGGGAAACTAAATAGCCCGTCAGGCAGTTGCACTCTGACAGCCACAGGCATGACTTCCAGAGGCATGATGGGATTTGTTGTTTCACCACAGCTGGAGGGCTGAATTTTGGCTTCCCCTGATGTAGCCCTTTCCTCCCCAGCTTGACTGTCCCTGGCCTGCTCCTTTTTCATTCATTGGATTTCATTTCTTTCAATCATGCAGGCTCAGCATCACATGCGGGTGTAACCTAGGACAATCTGCATGCAAATGCACCTGACAAGGAACTACCACACCTCCTGACCAACGCCCATTCATAAAGGTGTTTTGATATTTACTTAAAGCGGACCTTTACCCCCTTTCACTAAAAATCACATCAACATGCAGCTTTGCATGCTGATAGGAAATAATCTTACATACATTAGTTAAACATTTTCATTTTATTTACAATTATTGTTTTTCCACTTCCTGGTCCTCTTCGGCATCAATTATGTAATTGTGGCTAAGTGTTGCATCCTGGGAAGGTTACATCAGCAGAGCATTGCTAGGAAATCTGATCTGTAACCTCACGAGTTCCAGGAAGTAAAGGGAGATATATTAATCTGCCGTAAGTTAAAATGGCCATGTGAGAAGAATGGGGAGGAAAAGAGAAATAAGAAATGCAAAAGAATACAAAGCCGGCAATGATCTAGACCAGGGGTCTCAAACCTCTGGCCCTCCAGCTGTGGTGGAACTACAAATCCCATGAGGCATTTGAAGATTCTCACAGCCACAGACATGACTCCCGAGGAGAGATGCATCATGGGATTTGTAGTTTCACCACCGGAGGTTTGAGGGCCGGAGGTTTGAGACCCCTGATCTAGACCCTTGGTTCTCAACTGGTGGGTCATGACCCAAAAGTGGGTTGTGCCCCCCGTGTTCAGTGGGTCACTGCATACCTTCCACTTTTCTAGGTGAGAGACTCCTCAGCCCGCCCCTAACGCAGCACTGTGAGTTCCAAGCAGCCATTCAACAAAATGCTGCCCAGCGCCGAGTGTCAGCTTGAGGTGGGGTGGGATGGGGCTATGGCCGCGAGGGAACTCCATTCATACATTCATTGCTCACAGCTCCAACATGTCCTATAGTGGTGCCTGGACCAGAGTGATGTCACATTCTGGGTCCCGGGACCTCTACAGGGCGCGCAAGGGAGCTGTACAAGCAATGCCCATATGGATGGAGCTCCGTCACAGCACAGGAGCCCACACTGGACCCCAGGCTGAGGATCCACTCCAGTTTTCATAAAGGTAGGGAGACTGGGTGGACCTAAAAAAAAAATTAACACATTTCCTGTCCCTCCCGGGATCGGCTCGTCTGAATGAGGCCTAATTCTGCAGTGTGATTTGCACTGGGGACTGGGCATACCTGTTGATCATTTTCATCTGTCCTCCTATAGAGCCTCCTGCAGAAGACGGAGGATACCCAGAGATGAGCATCCTTCTGATAGAGGCCTTCTATGGAGGCTCCCACAAGCAGCTGATGGACCTCTTGAAGGGTGAAGTTGACGGCTGTGTTCTCTATAGTCTCCCTGCTAAGAAGTGGCATTGGAGGGCGCGCACCTCTGCCCTGTACTTCATGCAAGCTGTTCCACCCAACGACACTTACAGGTAAGGTCACAATGCGGATGACACTGAAAACTTCAGCAGGCAGGTTTCCGAGTAATCAATTTAGCCAACCTTTATTTTTAAATACATGTAACCCCGTTTACTAAAATCTCATGGAGATTTTAAAGCTGAACTCCAGCCTTCCCTTCAGTCTTGCACAGTTATGCCGGCTCCTCTCGTTCACTGACATTGTTTTCTTCTAATGCACACTGTCAGCTTCTCACAATGTGCATTAGAAGCTGCAGCAAGTCAGATAGAGCCCACCTCATTTCCTGGCTAGAGGACAGACAGCATCATCTAGCCCAGGGGTAGCCAAACTTCGGCCCTCCAGCTGCGGGGAAACTAAATAGCCCGTCAGGCAGTTGCACTCTGACAGCCACAGGCATGACTTCCAGAGGCATGATGGGATTTGTTGTTTCACCACAGCTGGAGGGCTGAATTTTGGCTTCCCCTGATGTAGCCCTTTCCTCCCCAGCTTGACTGTCCCTGGCCTGCTCCTTTTTCATTCATTGGATTTCATTTCTTTCAATCATGCAGGCTCAGCATCACATGCGGGTGTAACCTAGGACAATCTGCATGCAAATGCACCTGACAAGGAACTACCACACCTCCTGACCAACGCCCATTCATAAAGGTGTTTTGATATTTACTTAAAGCGGACCTTTACCCCCTTTCACTAAAAATCACATCAACATGCAGCTTTGCATGCTGATAGGAAATAATCTTACATACATTAGTTAAACATTTTCATTTTATTTACAATTATTGTTTTTCCACTTCCTGGTCCTCTTCGGCATCAATTATGTAATTGTGGCTAAGTGTTGCATCCTGGGAAGGTTACATCAGCAGAGCATTGCTAGGAAATCTGATCTGTAACCTCACGAGTTCCAGGAAGTAAAGGGAGATATATTAATCTGCCGTAAGTTAAAATGGCCATGTGAGAAGAATGGGGAGGAAAAGAGAAATAAGAAATGCAAAAGAATACAAAGCCGGCAATGATCTAGACCAGGGGTCTCAAACCTCTGGCCCTCCAGCTGTGGTGGAACTACAAATCCCATGAGGCATTTGAAGATTCTCACAGCCACAGACATGACTCCCGAGGAGAGATGCATCATGGGATTTGTAGTTTCACCACCGGAGGTTTGAGGGCCGGAGGTTTGAGACCCCTGATCTAGACCCTTGGTTCTCAACTGGTGGGTCATGACCCAAAAGTGGGTTGTGCCCCCCGTGTTCAGTGGGTCACTGCATACCTTCCACTTTTCTAGGTGAGAGACTCCTCAGCCCGCCCCTAACGCAGCACTGTGAGTTCCAAGCAGCCATTCAACAAAATGCTGCCCAGCGCCGAGTGTCAGCTTGAGGTGGGGTGGGATGGGGCTATGGCCGCGAGGGAACTCCATTCATACATTCATTGCTCACAGCTCCAACATGTCCTATAGTGGTGCCTGGACCAGAGTGATGTCACATTCTGGGTCCCGGGACCTCTACAGGGCGCGCAAGGGAGCTGTACAAGCAATGCCCATATGGATGGAGCTCCGTCACAGCACAGGAGCCCACACTGGACCCCAGGCTGAGGATCCACTCCAGTTTTCATAAAGGTAGGGAGACTGGGTGGACCTAAAAAAAAAATTAACACATTTTTGGAGTGTGTATGTGAGATTGTGTCTGTGGTTGTGTATCTATGTCAGTGTTTTTGAGGGCCCATTCACGGTGCGTTAATCGCATAGTACCATGCGATTACCACTGTACCACGCAATCGCACGTACCGTGCATTCTGGTGTGGTACCCCAAACACACCTCACACCCACAATTCGTACGCCCGCACTGGAACTTGTGGTACCCTAATGCCTTGCGTTGCATTGCAGTGCGACTTGGGTCGCGACATAATGACCAAGGACAAATGTGGGTCCTGAGGTTATACAGGTTGAGAACCACTGATCTAGACATATCTGTTTTGTAGATTGTCATTACTAAACATTTCTAAATGTGTCTTTGTTGTCATTTCAAAGATCTGGGCAAAGTTCCTCTTTAACTCCTCCCAATAGTCATCCCACTGCTTGCATCACATCTGCGTCATTCAGACAATTGTATGTTTAAATTAAGTATTACTATATGTCCAGGCATCTCAACCTGAAAAAAGTAATTTCAGGGAGGTGTCCTTCTCATTTCAGGGAGGTGCCCTCTGTCCCCCGCCCTCCCCCCCATCATATCGGGAGGGGGGGGAAGCACCCCCTTGAAATGATGGCAGATAACAAAGAAGCTAATGCTTCCCTTGCTATCTGCTGTGTTTTTTTTTGTTTTTTTTTAAGTATTCTGACAGCTGCAGCCGTCAGAATAATAAAAAAAAAAGCATAGAAATGAATAGCTAAATTTCGATTAGCTTTTTCAATTTGCAATAGCCAATAGCAAGCTGGCTATTGCACCCGCCCTCTGCTACTGTCAATCAGCAGCAGAGGACCTGATGGAGAACTTCAGGTCCACCTCTGCTGATTGACAGCAGCAGTGGGTGGATGCAATAGCTAGTCTGCTATTGCAAATTGAAAAAGCCAACAGAAATTTAGCTATTCATTTCTATGCTGATTTTTTTTTTTTCTTTTTTCCCTGACTGACGGCGGCCCCACACAGATAGCAGGGAATGGTTTACTCTGCTAGATAGAGCAGAGTAAACCTTTCCGGGAGAAAATGTTTCTCTCCCGGGCGGCCGGGAGCCGCTATCTAATAGCGGTAGACTCCCGGAACGTCGGGGAGAGTTGGGATGTCTGCATGTCCGATCTGCCACTGCTGCAGATGGCCTATGCGGAGAGTGGCGGTGATGCCTCCTCGCTCTGTAATTCAAGTCGCTCTTTCCCCAGCAGGTCCGCATATCCGCACAGCCCTGAGGTTGGGGGAGAACAATGCAAGAGCCTGTGCATTGCACCCCCAATACACTGATCACATGTGCATTGCAAAAAAAATTTCAATGCACATTGATCATTTAATAAATGTTGCTGCATTTACTACTTTTTGTGAAAAAGGTGATATTTCTGTTGGAACACATTTGAATTTTGGCTACACAACTAGACTAAAAATTTGATAACAGCACCAAGTCTGTAATGTAGCTTCTGTAGCTGTGACCCAAGGTTTAGGGTTACTGCTCAGTCATATGGTTCAGCAGGCCGTGTGCCTAAAATGTGTGCTGTGACTGGGGACCTCATGATTTATATCATGTAATGCATTCGGCAATGTCCACTACCCTGAACGTTGTCCTGGGTCCATATATAGTACGCGGTCACATGGATTTTTAAAGTGAACCTTGCACTGAATGTAATTAAACATAAAAAGAAAAATGTAATAAATACTCACGTTCCGCTGTGCTCGCCTAGACGAGAGTATTTTTGCTTCTAGTTATACTTTTTTGGACGTTGCACATTATGCACAGGGCCCTGGACCTTTTCTTGAATTGCTTGTAAGTCCACTAACCTCCTGGAGGTTATCATTTCATAATACATTACATGATGTCTGAACCTCTGGATTTCATGTGCACATTATAGACAAAGCTTGGGTTTCTGCCTGACTTACCCACGCTGGGCAATGCGACAGTGACTCTGAAAATGGCCTCTTCTGGTTGCCCTATTCTAACCAAACCTATACTCCCTTATACTTACCTTACCTATACACTCCATATACTCACCTTACCTATACACACCTTACCTATACACTCTTATACTCCCCTTACCTATACACCCTTATACTCCCCTTACCTATACTCCACTTGTAATTGCCTTACCTAGACTCACCTTACCTATATTCCGCCTGTACGCACCTTAACCATACTCCCTAATACTCACCTTACTTGTACTCACATATACACCCCATATACTCACCTTACCTATGCACCCCATATAATCACCTACCTACCTATACTCCCCTTACCTATATTCCCTTATACTAACCTTACCTTTTACTCCCCTTATACTCTCCTTACCTATACTCCCCTTATACTCTCCTTACCTATACTCACCTTACCTATACTCCCCTTATACTCACCTTACATATTCTCCCCTTGTACTAATCTTACCTATACTCCCCCTTTTCACTCGGTAATCCTGCCATTAACATACTACCAGTCCTAGGGTTACAACACTCACTCACTGCACTGTATCTATGGAGAGCAGCATTGTCAACTTAGGCTGCTCTCCTATTTCGGGCTACAAACACCTCCTCTACTCCTCATGCCCATGACATCAGGGGAGGTGTTCCTTGTACTGGGCTAGGCTGATAACATTGTTTGAGATTTCAGTTCAGTGCACAGGAATTGTCAATGGCTCTTGATTTCTGGCAGCATCAACAGGTTTGTACTTTCAGAAAATGTTTGTAGCCTAAAAAAGTGGTGCAGCCACCACATCTAGGTACTGGTAATCTACAATATACAAAATTTTTGTTCTTGGGCTTAGCTATCCTTTAATATAGGTGTAATCTAGAGATACGATTTAACAGTAGCCATTGTAACTGGTTGATTTTTTTTTTCTCTTTAAAAGATGAAGAACGGCCGGTAGTACTGCAGACATTTCGTTTTTTGGGGAAATGATAGCCGTTCCCAGTATTGTACATGTGCATGTCATAACTGCATCAAATGGATTGGGGCTGAAACGTATACAATATGTGCATTTCGTGTGAAGGTCTGGCTGAAGTCTAAGAGCTTCTGCTTGTAGAAGTTAACGGGCATTTTAGACATGTCTCTAAAAATGTTCTGGCATGTACTTTAATCTCTGCCGTGTCCTCCAGCGTATCACAAGGTTATCGCCATCCTCAAGGTCGGCATCACAAGACATCCTGTACCGCCTGTAATAAGCTAATCAGACATTACTCACAGACACACACCCCATTAGTTAAACTTAAATTACATTGACCTAACATAATTTAATTGTAATTCATTGGATTACCTACATTTTACTCAGAAAAGAGATCCCACAAAACACAGAATCTAGCACGCTGCTAAACTGCCCTGCGTTATATATTTATCTTAA